CACAGAATGACAATACAATTATCAAGATTAAATATGGTGTGCGCCTACTCCACTAATACAGAACCAAATTCCCAGTGGTGTTCTTCACAGTTTATTACCCTCAAAACACAACATGTATCTGTCCTGCAGTTCGTTATTTAACATAATGTAACGTTAAACAGCCAACTACAAGAAAATCCGGTAAAACGAGTAAAAAGTGTATATAAATACGTAGCAAAGTAACGCACAACATCGAACTTAAAAAATCTGTGAAACGGTTTACGGAAAATAAGGAAAAGTGCAGTTCGTGCCCTACGCACATAGGCTTTGCACTCGGTGAACTTCATGCAAAGTCCTCTCACACTGAATTTAACAAACACATAATCACCCATTATCATATGCATGAAACGTTGGGACAGCTCAGTCTGTACAGCGACAGACTATTTCTCCTCTCCATAGCGTCCAGACCGGCTCTGGGGGTCATCCAGCCTTCCATCCAATGGGTAGCGGGGGCTCTTTCCCTGGGAGTAAAGCGGCCTGGTTGAACCATGCCTCCATTCCCCAATATACCCTTCATGGCATAGTGCTTAATTAATTGGGCACAGGGATAACTTCCGACTAACGTTATGGATACACTTCGCATACCTAATTTTAATAAAATCTCAATAACGAATTACGATATTATGACACCCATTTACAATCTTATGTATAGCAAACTTTGTCCTGGACTAACATGCTCGAAAGTCGAAACTCCCCGACAAATTTGACTGAGCCTCCAACATCGAACATGAATAGAATCTGTTTACCGGTTTCGGCGCAAATATTAAGTCAGTGACAGACATAAATCTGCACATAACTCTTATATTTTAAGAAGGAACGTCTAGTAATGAAACTGTAACGACTGCGAAGCAACAGATATAACGACTTAACATACAGATAAAAGGCCTTGGAGACCGACAGGATTGTGAGACGTCGAGGATTATACATTTTCGAGACAGGAGACTCATAGATGGCGGCAAGGTTGTCAGCCTTACGCGCCGGCAGCCCTTTACTCCCCAGGAAGATTCTTGGTACTCGTTTTTGTTAGAGGCTGAGTCGACCCCAGGGCCACAGTGGGGCTGGAAGGATTAGGTCAACTGAAAAATCCAATGGCCTCATCGGGAATCGAACCCGCGACCTACCAGTCTGTACCACAGTGTATCAACCAGCTAGGCTACCTAGTGCCCCTAACACAGGAATGTTTAAATTACTGTATTCTTAAAATACACGTTATTAAAAAATAAAATAAAAACTACATAAACGCCAAAATTGCGAAATATCAGTTGCATGTAGGGCCCATTTCTGCCTTAATAACTGAATTATATGGAAAATTTCTTCATAAAACTACTTGGTTTCATATTACATATGCCACTGGCAATGTCCTTAAGGCCGCTCTTTCAGTCAACATCCACCCTGTATTTCGCTGTTCATATTTTTAGTCATAAGAGTCTCCACCCATTGCTATTCTTGGCTGTCGATCCATTCTACTGGCTTTTTTATTTCTGTATTTACTTTTGTAGACATTCTGGTATTACATGACCTGTTGACAGCACTACCGAGGCTGTTTTAAAGATGAGAAAGTAAACACCAACTTCCTGCCTGCAGAGTTTACGGAATGTCCTGCTATCCCTAAGTACAGACTGACAAGGCGAACTGGGCATATCAACTTGAATTATTTCATAATCTCAAATCAAGTGTTTTCTGTGTATACAAGTATTTGGTTTAAACACGGGAATGTGAACTTATTTATCTTTTTGAGTTCTCGGCATGTAAAATCTCGATAAAAAGGCAAAATTGTATCTTCCTTGCGAACTGTATTAGTATATCAAAGAATTAAGTGTAACTTCACAACACTGAATTGAACTTATATCGGTTAATGAAAGCAAGCGATGTGACCAACTTTTTTTTTATTGCTAGTGGGGTGGGACTAAGTCCCTTTTACTGCGGCCACTTCTGCCCTATTGTACCAGCCCCAGATGATAGGTGAGGGTGATTGTGGAGCAATTGGTGGAATGAAGATTGGCAGGGGAAACCGAAGTACTCGGAGAAAACCTGCCCCAGCGCCACTTTGTCCAGCATAAATCCCACTTGACCAGACCCGGGATCGAACGCGGGCCGCTGCGGTGGGAACCCAGCGACTAACCGCTCTCGGCCCATGTGACCAACTTGATTTCAGCGTTAACAAAAACACGAGAGAAAGACAACGGAATAAAATTATCGACAGTTCACATGCTTACACTGACGAATGTACAGACAGCAAGAGAAGAGCTGAAGTCAACAATTTTCGGTATGTGGGCTATCGTTGGTGTGCTAGTTGGAATGAATTCAAACGGAAGAGAGGCGTGAATATTTACATTATCAAATAGAGTGTTGACCGAATTCCAACCAAGGTAGGCTAACATTCATATAAAAGATGCTGTACTGACGGCGTAACTAACCATTAATTTATGTAATAACGTCAAAGATTATCGCAACAGATACAGCGCCTAACAAAGCAAATGACTGGCAAGATTGAGGTCCCGGCTTCGATTCTCTGCCCGAAAGCCGGAAATCCTCAGCTTTATGGTACTTGTCTTCAGAATTACCCAACAAATTATGAAATTCCTTAAAACAGGCCAAGGCCACACTGTCTTCCACATAGTTTTCAATCCATCATTTACACCCTCACATGACGTACACTACACAGCGATAACCATCCTGACAGAAGCTCTCCTTATGCATGTCGGATCTAAACATGCAGAGCTGGACGTTCTCTATTCTATGCCACGCCGAAGATGAGCACTGGCAGGTTTCCTCCTCCTTTCAATTCCTCCTCTTTTCCACATTTTCTAAGGCGACTTGGCAGATGCAGCTAAGTGTAAGGTGGCCAGCCAACAACTATGGTTACCAGCCTACACTGCTTCCTGTCCAAGGCCAACAAGTATCTAGACCGTTTATCCGAAGGGCTTTCAATGAAGAGCTTCTATTGCCTCACATACAGTGCGGCAGCCCACTGTTCTTAGTGCCTGTCCTTCAGTCGCGCCTTAATCTTGCACCTAAAACAACACACGGTGAAATTGAAACTGACGGTATGGACTCCTCAACCCCGCCCTAATTAGGCTTAATCAAATTTTGACCAGGGACCCAGAGGTCCGAAACCTTGTTTTGACAAGACAGGATGCACACTGTCTGTCGATATCCTCGTAAAACCTTCGACGTCATCCTGGATTTTCTTAGGGGTCTGCAGAACTGCTTCGCTGTCGGAGCATATATTGATGTGCTAACCCGCATAGGCCCTTCCTATACACTCCTTTGAGCAAGGTAAAATCGCAAAAAGAAACCTGGAACACTGTGGCATACACACCAAGGAAAAAGGATTATATCCTACTTGGACCAACTCCACACATGCCTGCACCCCATCATCCAGCCAACCTGGACCCACCTGTGGAAGGAAGGGTAATGAGTAAAGTCAGTTAATAATTTTCTCGTTATGTGATCTTCACTTTCAGAGGGATCCAAAAAGCAATCATTTTGTTCCGACTAATATGAGATACGGGATCCGAGGACCCGGGCATGACCTATATCCTAAAACCTAATGGTTTGTATGGACAACGTGCGTAAATTAAATGCATAAGGTTGTCGTGATTAGTCGCCCTGCCCACACGGTTCCTCTCTTCAATTAGTGACACACCACACTGTCAGGAAATTTAAATTTTACCCCAATGGGCCTTAACATCTCTGCTGATTAAATCTGTCAGAATGCAAGCAACTAAGTACTTTTGAATATCTGTAGGCGACAGTCTTGTGAGACGCATTAACATCAGTTAACAATGAGGGATGAAGGAAGAAAAAGAACATAGCTGAAAAATAGGTTTTGTAAATTGGTGTACGCATTTTCCAATCCAATGCTGCTGTATTTATTCTTATCCAAAGAAAACTGTACCAATATGTGACCACACGAATGGCACTTTGTCCGTGGGCATGAATCCTGTTTACGACTACAAACAACAGTGACAATTGTACGTAGACGACTATTATTCGTTGATTAAAACAAACGACATGCCACCAGATCTAGATTAATTCATTTTGGTTTACTTTCAATCCTGACGGGCTCAATCCAACACTAGAGTCGAATACTATTTTCCAAATGTCAGGCTGAGTCGGACAAACGACATCGAAGTGTTCATATTTCGCCCAAAAAAGATCGACTAAAGCAATGACCAACTTCATACGTGTTTGTATTGCGGACATGCATAACTTCAACGGAGGGTCAATTTGTAAAGTGTGAGGGAGATATAGTAGACACGGTTTTGGGCCCCTGTGTCATTCAGGACACAAAATCTGAAAATATTTCCAATATGGGAAAAGATGATGCTCAGTCATATATAGGGATAGTCATATATAGGGATATCACTCTCACTCACTCATGGATCTGAGCCCTTTTTGAAAAGCCGCAAAATGTGCAGCTACTCAAGAGCTGCCCAGCATTTTATGGAAACCGAAAGTTCATTACCGTGTTCACAAGAGCCTTCCACTGGTCCCTATCCTGAGCCAGATCAATCCAATCCATACCATCCTATTTAAGATCCATTTTAATACTGTCCACCCACTTACGCCTTGGTCTTCCCAGTGGTCACTTTCCTTCTGGCCTACCCACCAATATTCTATATACATTCCTCTTCTTCTCAATTTATATAGGGATACAGGATGAATTACATGAAAGATGAGTTTGCATGGGAGAAGTTAAAACGTAAAACCCCGTAGTTGGTTATGTGTAAATGAAACATAAATGCTTCAAAGAGGTCGGCGTTACAGCTGAGATCACTGCAAACAGAAAGAGATGGTAAAGTTATGTAGCGAGAAGAGGGAAGACATGTGAGCGAGAACATGGAATTATACACCTACAGGACTCAAGAGTAAGAAGATTAGCAAGGAAACATTTGGAGAATATTCTGAGACCGGTACAGGAATGAAGATAAATTATCTCGTTTCTTCGTGCTTACCGAAATAACGATCCCATTCTTCACGATTTCTGAACCGCAACTTTGTAGGACTTGAACTTGGTCGTGAAGTTTTGGAGTACGAATGGTAATGCGAAGACGAATGGGGCGTCGGTGTCCGGAACGACGTCGCCATGTTTCAATTCACTGTTCTTAAACACTTTCACCTTTCCAAACTACAATGCTGTTAACTTGCCAAGTAATACGACGAATGTTCACAACACCGCAAATCACCTCCTACAGAAACGAATCCAACTGTGTTAAGCAACTGCAAATCCACCTGCAATACTAAAAATTGGGTTCATAATTAATAAGCAGACATCAAGGAATTAGTTTTACTTCATTTATTTGCGATTTACTTGACGACGCAGTCAGTAGCCGAGACTATACAGCGTCGAGATTAAAAAATTAAAATGTATTAATTCCACGATATAACAGATTAGTCTGTTGCTTTTAAGACATTTTATATTTTAACATTAGTTCTTCGCAATAGATTTCACAATTTGGAACCTATCTCCTATCTCCTGCTGTAACAAATAGTACATTGTTCAAAAATTACGAATAATTTGTCTGATAACAGCATTGTCTTGTGCACAATGCTCATGTGTGTGTGCTTTCAATCTATGATTAATGCGCTCCACTAGCTTTTAATGTAATTCACGACTCTATTTATATATGAAATTCCGTGGTTACTTTGATTAGCTGCAATGGTTTCGCAACAATGCTACAGTGCAGGCTTTTTCTTGGATATCCTCAAAATACGTAAACAGTGGGGTCCTTTAACACGCTACAGGTACAATGTCGTCACGAGGATGATGTCATAAAGCAGAAAATAAACCTTTCAGTAAACTTTCTAGCGAATCACAAAACTACAAAATTTACTGACTACAAACTGTACTTATACTTCAGAAATGTGTTCTCTTCTCCTATAATCTCCGGTGCCGAGATATGCACAGTTCACTCCCACTAAACAAGAATATTTGTTACCACATGGATTGTCTCTAACGTAACTGTAACCGCTTGCTCATTTGGGTCTTCAACGACGGACAACAGGATGGCCAGTAGCGTGCTTATGTTAGCTAACCTACTGTACAGTTGTGCCAAGTTTGATTCCAACTGCCCAAAATAACTTTTCACAAGGTACTGCTAGTGTTCACTAAGGACTTCCTCCTCTTCTTTTTGCGAAAAATTAGGTTACATGTGTAGAACGGAATAACAAGTTGGGTACAACTGCGGACGTTTCACGAGCAAATTAGGTCAATTTCAAAACACACTCGAGAGCGCAATTATGGATAAAAAGTGAACTCCGCATGAAAAAGACAGTGAAGCTGTGTCATCGTAAGACCTGTCTAATGCTGCTACTTTGGATGAAGCTAATACACGTATATTACTCGTTCAGGTGTTCAAACGATCCTATACAGAACATTATCACTACTACCAATACAGCAACACCTCAACAACACCACAATACGTGTGAAACTTGAGGAAGAAGCTCGCGCAGATGTTGGATATATGTCAATGACAATTTGCACAGTTCTCATACAGAAAATAATAATTTCAAAATAGAATCAGCTTAAAAAAAAGGGCCACTCACGTTAAAATTTCAATTGATTCTACTAAAAACATTTCACAAATACAATTCCATACGCATTTGCAGTTTCTTGCTCTATTCAACAACTCTCTGCCAGCTGTATATATCACAATGCCTCGAGTACGTAAGTAGTTAACAACACAATTTCATTTTTAACTTAAAACTCCTGATGTTTGACAAACATATGTCTACACAAATTTTGGTTACACCAATGCCAAGGGTTCACTGAAAATTATTTTATATAAAAAGTTAACTGGAATTTAAATGTCCTAAAGGGACTACAGTTGCACCGCATTCAATGAAACAGTTCATTCACACTAAAAGCAATTTATAATCACAAATCTGACCTACAAACCAAATTTAATTAATTCTCAATTACGAATGTAGAAATCTTCAAAAATGAGATTTCTAACACTTCCTACAGACACTTCGTGGAACAAACAAAACAGTAAGTGAAATGCAGGCCTACATTTTACTACAATCAAAGACGACAGATGTAAGAAAAAAACACGAATATAGTACGATGTAAGAATAGCACCAATGAGAGACAAGCACAAACTGAATAAGAATCGAATAAAAGCTATGCTTAAGCGTACGTTCTGGCTATGAACCGTGAAGGTCATAGTGCCATAACAGAGACAGGGAAGGACTAGTAGCACCTACGTAAATACATACTGGCAGCAGGGGTATAAAACATACGCCACTGAACGTAGGTTCTTACTTTCGCTATCATTGCACTTCCTACGCTTCTCTAATGAGCATGCGATATACTAATCAGTGCTAGATGGACGCATTCCAACTAGTAATCATATTTTCAAAACTATTCACAATCCTGAATTCCTCACTTAATTATGCATTCTAAACACAAAGTTAATGAAATTTGCACATAATGGTAGGTGGCATCTATCGGTCAATATGTTTCATCCACGAAGCTACAGAACAAATTTAAAATAAATTTGGTATTAGGGATCTACAAGGTCAAGATCTAAGATCTACTTAGGTCAACTGAAAAGATCCAGTGACCTCAACGGGGAACGAACCAGCGATCTTCGGGCTTGTAGCACAGTGCTCGAACAGTAGGGCCACGATTTGTTTCTTCCCCAGTAAAACCTCCTTTGGTTAATCAATTTGCTAAAGTTTACCAACATTCCTTTTACTTGAAGAAAGCAGTCTTCTGGGATTTGGCACCGTGTATATGTGGTGTTAACCGACGTTTCGGAGGAACGTCGGTTAACACCACATATACACGGTGCCAAATCCCAGAAGACTGCTTTCTTCAAGTAAAAGGAATGTTGGTAAACTTTANATTTAGACCTCATTACAACGATTGAAATTTTAAAACAATAAAATCAGTAATCCATATGAAATTCTTGTGCTACAAGCATCTTAAACGCCAATAGGTTCGGATAAGGCTGACAGATGAGTTACAACGTCCCGTAATCCTACAATAACAAGAATAAGGAACTCGATGAGCAAACATTCCTCACACAATTTTGGTAGCCCTGATTTCGGTGCCTACATTAATGTGAATGCGGTCGGTCCTCCTACCTGCGAACTGCCCACATCTGATCATCAACCAAGTGGCCAATCGCCGTATAAAGAGCGACCAGCAGCCCGCTTTCTTTTCCACTTGTAAACGCAATCACATCCAACGCAACATATCATTCTGCTATGCAATTCCGGTTCACATGCAAACACGAATCAATCAGAGTATAAACACAAGTTCAGACATCTCGTGTCCACAAAAAGCTCTCTCTGATTTTGTGGTCTCTCACTGCAAGAACAGACTCACCTACAAAAAAGTAAAAAAGATAAAGCTATCCCTGTTAACAGGTCATGGGGTTTCATAGGGTTGTGAGACGTCGAGGCTCTCACATTTTCTAGACAATCAGTTCACAGATGACGATGAGGTCAGCCTTACGCGCCGGCCGCCATTTACCGCCAGGATGATTCCTGGTAATCATTTCTGTTAGAGGCAGAGTCCACCCTATGGCCACAGTGAGGCTAGAACGATTAGGTAAATTAAAAATCAAATTACTTCATCGGGAATCGAACATGCGATTTTCCGGTTTTGTACCATAGTGCCTCAACCAACTATGCTACCGAGTTCCCCAAGAAACTGCTGGATTACAAATTTGCATTCACAATATAAGATTGCAGGACTGGAAGACTGCAACAGGAAAGGAGGCTTTATGCATTCGAAACGGAATTCCGTGCTCAAAAATCTGATCTACGTTAACAAAGTTCGGTAAGGATATCCTACTTACCTGACGCCACATTTCCTATACTGTACGTTCGTGCTTCGGAAATTGGCTTCTCGATTTTTCCTTGTCTATCCTCCGTCTCTCTAGGCTGCAGTAATAGCTTCGCATTGGTCGCAAACGCTTACTTTAATACCTCAGCATTCGAAGTAACAGAGCATGAAAGGGTAGTGTCTCCATCTTCACAAAAAAAAAAAGAACTCTTTTTTTAAATTCCCTAACTTCTATTCCAACACGGTGTCACTGCGAATCTGAGCATGAGTCATTACGCATAATTAACAACATAAAAACGTGGAAAGATATACTCCATAATGAAGCACATTCCACATGCATTCTCTGCTATAAATGTGGCTCATAACATGTTGAGTAACACTCAACGTCAGAACAAATAAAATTCCTGTTAATGAGAGCAGCTGCGAAGATTCAACATATTTACTCATCCTCTAAACGTAGGAGATGAAATACGTGATGCTGATGATGATGATGATGATGATGAAGAGGGGGGGAGGAGGAGGAGGAGGACGGTGGTGGTGTTGGTCGTACTTAAAATGGCTTCATACTAAATGCATAAGGTAGTGTAATGTTTAGTGTAAATCCTGTATTCTTGCTGGATATTTTAGGCAAGGGGATTTACCTAAAACTTCATATCAACACTGCGAGTCGGGAATATCCGAAACTACCAGAGGGGGAGAGCCACGGGGAGTAACTTACAGAAAACTGCGTAATGAACAGCTTCATGACTTTCACTCTTCTGCCAATACGGTCAAGGTACTGAAAAACATGGGTTAGGTAGCGATGACACGAAATACGCATGGCTAAATGAAAATGACTACAAAATTTGGGTTGGAAAACTTTACGAGAAGAGGCAATTTGTAATAATTATAAGTATGTGGGAGATTAACATAAAATTAATATCGTACTACATAAAGCGGGTGTGAAGATGTGGGCTGGATATACGTGGTTCAGAATACTATCCAATGGCGGTCTTTTTGTGATTATGATGATCATCTTTCGGATTCTCTGAAGCAGGGAATTTCGTGAATATCCAAGAGAAGCGCCAACTTTTCAAGACAGAGCTATACCACAAACTTACTTGAACAAGCAACGATGTGTTTGACAAGTAGGTACACAACAGAAATATTATTTGAACCGATTACACAACCAGTGCTTCCGGCATCACAAATTGCGCCGCGAGTTGCCAACATATGATGACCATCTGCAAGCTATAAACATTATGTTCAGGCGTGAACTGCACAGATGTCATTAAGTGTCGGATGTGAAAAGACAGTATGAGTAGTAAGCGGGGTACTTGTTCTCACTTGGAGGGAAGAACTGAAACTGAAGTTGTCTGAGAAATTTCTGAGGAGACTGCCCTTGTGAACTACTATGTAGAAGCCTCATAATCTGCATTCTTCACACAATATTGTTACGATCATTAATTGACAACTCATAAATGGGGCATGTGAGAGAACTGAAGGAACAATGATGGTATACAACTTCGATTCAAGAACCCAGCTGGGAAACTAACGGCATGAAGATGTGTTATGGGTTAAAATATCTCAGAATATAATCCAGTTGAATATTTAACTGATCATGGATTGCGTAACAGCATGTTTCCTAACCGCCTGAATAAAATAGTATCTGCAATGGGGCGTGGTACACACTACAATACGAGGGACTTGGAAAAACTGAGACAAACTGCAAACAAGCTGATATTTCGGTTGAGATTACAACTAGAGATCTTTCGAATTGGGTCGTGACCTATTGCAGATAGGCCTACGCACTCGTTTCCCTTGACAGAAAGAGCTAGTCCATGAAAAACGTCCTGGCGCTTATCAAATCACAATTTACAATGCATTACAGGCAGAAAGATTTCTTGTAATAATTGAAAGAGGCCGCGCCATAGCCCAAGCGGTTAGTTGCTGGTTTCCCACAACGGCGGCTGGTCAAGTGGGATTTGTGGTGGACAAAGTGGCGCTGGGGCAGGTTTTCTCCGAGTAC